TTAAATTATTCCATACAAATTGGTGACATAGATGATAAGCAACATATCGAAACGTCTGGGCTTCAACTATGACGTACACCGTGACGTCATCACCAGCATGTACGAGATGTGTGCCTACAACAAGGCGTGGAATGTCGCACAGATCTCTCCCTGGTGCGCTGTAAGTATCAACACAATTCACCATAAATACACATGACGTGACCAGACATCTCGTTTTAGACGGGACTGTCCCATTTTATAGTTACGAGTTCCATTGTCCCCGACATTAATGCCGGGACGTCAAATTGTCCCGTTTTTTAAACCGTGCGAAAGTTTTATCGTTGAATTTTGGGATACGCTGTATACAGACACCCTAACATAATAAAATCAAATATACATTAAATATTAATGTAGGTTTTCACAAAAGATGATCTAAAAAGGATGGAATATGCTGAAGATTTGGAAACATACTACAAGTATGGATACGGTAACTCATTGAATGAGAAAATGGGCTGCACCACTGTCAGAGATATGATGGACTTCTTCAAGAATCATGTGGAACATGGTAAGAAAATATCTGACATACTGACGCACACAAAATTGTTAATTGCTCGCAAAAGGATATATTTTTCGATAACTATTGCAAAATACTAAAGGTGCTTACAATCCCTACATATCTGTATATATATATAGCTGTAATTTTGTCTGTATTTCATTAAAAACACACGTTATTAAACTTTTTTTATACTGAAAAGTTACAACCCCCCAGATCTAGCCTAGATCATCGGATGCCCTTTGGTACGTGTTGGTATATGTATATGGTAAAAAAAGTTAACGATTTGTAGCTATAGGAGCTAAAATACTATCACAGTGTGTACATTTTTGAAAAAAAGCTTTTATTTCTTTTATCATAAGGTGATAAAAAATAGCTGAAATAGCGAAGCGACCGTTGCCCATAGACAACCCTAATTGCAGATGCTGTAATTAAAAAAAATAACTAATACGGTTTGCTCTATCACCCGATTCCGGCTTGACGTCGTCATATGGTACATCCTGTATACCTTAAAGCAAGACTTATTTAGTCATGCCACAGATTTATTTAGGATAGTATTTGCATTGTTTGACAACACCTTATTAGTGTATCACATTCGACGTCATACATTACACATGACAACAAAAGTACAAACCAATTTCAGACACACCACAACAACCTCGAGCACAAATACAATTCACTGAAGCAGCTACAATAATGTTGACTGCAACCGCAATGGGAACACGTCGCGATACAACGCCGCTCACAGGAGACAACTACCACACGCCCGCTGTACCCACAAGGCAATGGACCACCTCCCTCATGACACCTTTCAATGCTAACATCGCTGCTGTACTCTACAAGTAAGTCTACAATAAAAAAAAATTGTAAAGGAATGTAGCTCCCAAACTATAAGGTATTTTTCATTTAAAAATTGGACATGCATTAAGTTTACTACATATAAGCTATTAAAAAGATCCGGTTTAATTTGGTCAATATTATAACAAGTACCTACTTAAAATCTTGAAAATATTTTTAAAACTTTACCTTTAATAGATTTGAATTTATTTCTCTCCAAAATCATCGTACGTCGTAATCATGTGATTTTAGATTTTACTTTTTAATACTTTCCTCCCGTTAACAAAAAAAAAACAATAATACAAGTAAATTAATAGCGTTGCTACGAATTTATAACGACCATATAAAACCTCTTTCCACGTGGCCGTAACGTTTTTTCGTGACAGAAAAATCCTAAAATTCTTCGTGTAGAAAAAAAAACTTTAAAATATTTACAGATGCACTCAAGATGGTAATTTCCAAGTGAAAGGTGAGTACCAAGTATTATTCTTAGAGAATGAGAAACCAATGAAAATCGATGGCTGCCGTGTCGGACTCTGCGATTGGAACTTCGTTAAAAACAAATTCAGCGAAATTGCAGACACGTGTGATTTGCAATTCTGTAATAAAGCAACAAATATTAAAGGATACGTCTCTATTATGTTGTTGGTCACATTTTTCCTTACAATCTTAAATTCATAAAAAAAATAAGCTGACCGTGATATCATTGCCTTAACACTTTCATTAAAAATTAAAAATAGTTGTCTATGATTTTTTTTTCTGAGTTTTGGCAATTTTGATCTATGGTCCATTTTGTTATCTGTGACTGTTTAATATTGTCAGTGCTTAAAAATAAGTAAAAATTAACTATAATTATTTTAAATCATATATTTTCAGCACTTATTAGATGGAAGTAAGCATAAGTCATATAACAATTAGCTATATAATGTGCAGATTTGATTTCATTTAAAAATCAAAACTACAAATATACTAGCAAATTGCACTTATAGTAAATCACACTATTTTTGCTATTTTAAGAAACGCTTGGAGTACTAATTGTAAAAAATATTAATATTAGAAATCGTGTATTATTTACAAAAAAAATATTCGTACTTTTACTGCTGTATTGTTATTTCAGTTTTTGAGAAGAGAATCACATTTTTAAATATTTTTATTATTAAAAAGCACTGTTTTTGTATTATAAGTTTCTGTCTTAAGACATATACTTCTTCTTCTTATTATATTATCGTAAAATGCATTTTATTGTGTTGTTTTTTTTTTGTATATTTTAGTACAAATTAGGTTAGAAACGTAAATTCGTCGGCTACCATTTTGTTATTTTTTTAGTGTTTCCAGTTAATAAAATTATTAAAACTTTTATATTAAAAAATGTATTTTTATTTTTTCAATATAAAAACCCTTGTCGATTTAATAAAGAAATCAATATATTCAATAACTTTTATTCGATTAAAAAATAACAAATTATATAAATATTCGCTTTGCTTTACGAAAGTTTGAATGCCAATAATAAAGCGATTAGTCTTCGATAAATTTGTAAAGTTAACAGTGAGGTTTCACTGTTAAAAAATCGGTATAAAACCTATAAAATGGTAAAAACTATTTTTTAGGTTATTATAATAAATTTTTACAAACTTGAATGACAAAATGTGTATTTTTAACAAGATGCAATTTTTTTTTAAATTCATTTTTTTATTTAATCGCTTTATTATTGACTATTTTAATCGATATTTAATACTTACTATAATACAAATAACTAACTACATATATTTATTAGATCATTGTATCTGAATATACAGTCGAACCACGATAAACAAGAAACTTGGGTTAGCAACCGCTATAGGCGAGAAAAATATCACGGTCTGTAGTACTCAGTGATTCAAGTTCGACTGTACATTGAATTGAGATATAAACATATTTCAACTGAAGTAAAAAAAAACATTAAAATCATTTGCAGTAAATATTATGCATGTTTAAAATATAAATTGTGATACAATAATTTTAACTACAAATGTAAAACCCCACTGTTAAATATTTGAAAATTGAATTTTTTATCAATATTAAATCATTTTAATACTAGTTTTTTTTTAAATGGGGACAAATTTGAAAGCTCTAGGTGGCGCTAGTGTCAAAAGTGGGCTGTCATCTGTCAATTTATTTATTCTGTGATTAAAAAAAACACTGGGGATTTAAGTAAAATAGCAAATAACATTTGAAATACATAGTTACAATAGTTTACAAGGATTTGAATATTTGAAGACAGTCAGCTGTACTGGAATGTTTCAATTCACAATGATAGCGGGTTTTTACTTTTTGATTGAATATAAAAAAACAAATTATTACAAAAATTACTAACAGATATTTGGATGTGTAAATCTAACCAAAAACACATTACTAATAATAATAAAAAAACCTACAATTTGATAACCTAACTATATTTAAGCATTCACGTAGCATCTTGTACACTACTGGAGCTGATATTACGCGTCCGTTTGCCAACACCACTGGCAGATTTGTTCTTACGTTTACGTTCACTATCGTCTTCACTAACACTAGTACACCTCGGCTTCGGGCTGTTTGTCGCATCACACATAGAATCCCTTTGAGATTTCTTCCTTTGACGTTTGTTCATATTCTCTCCGATCAACATTTCATTGAACTGTCGCTGTCTCGCTTCCCAGTATGTGTTCTGACGTTGCACGACATCATTGTATTTGGCTTCGAACGCCGTGTCAGGGGGTAGTAACAGCTCCCAGCCCATACGAGGCGTGAATTTGCCTACGGAGCGTATTATTTCGAGTACATCGCTCGGCGGCAAACGCACCGCTGCGGCGACCTTACGTCTGTCCACGTAAGGGTGTTGTGTGAACAGATACAACTAGAAAAAGAAATAAGGAAAAATTTAAATACTCCAACAATAACCCATAATTTTATGGCTACAAAAATAAACCTAACTGTTCTAATTATCAACAGTATGGTGATTGTCAACAACAGTAAAATAGTCATGCTTGTCCATGTGAATTGATTGAAGAAAAATTTATTTGGATAGCGGTGGCATAACATAACCAAAGGCTTTGACTTAAAAAAAACGATTGTCTATGGTTGTCATCACGAAACAAAACCATAACCTTGTAAAAAAATAAGTGTCTGATAGGCATAGCGAGACAAAAAATTTGCCCCGTAAAAGTGTCAATGGTTGGCATAACGAGAAAAACCTTTGCCTTAAAAAAACAACCTACCACATGATCTCTAGCCGCGCACATGAGATGCGGCGGCGCGGGTGAAGGTCGCGTGTAAAGGTCGGCAGAGCGCGGCGCCCACAGGCCGCGCACACAGCACGCAGCGCCGCCCAGCGCGTTCAGCACCGCCGCTTCGCCCGCCAAGCTACCGTCCTCATTGTACACTCGACCACGCAGCTCCGAAAATGTCATTAGTTTGGCTGAAAAACATAATTCAACGCTTCATTTAGTTTCTACTCTCAATACTTATAAAGCTTCGCCTTCATAGTACTGCACATTTTGACTAATACACGAAAATTCGAAAATATTTTAAAATATCATAATAGCGGTTATATATCAAATTTACAATTTTCTTGTCTATTTGTCATTGACCTGAAGTGATTATTAAATATTATGAAATTCTAACCACTGATAAGTATCTCCTTAATCTGTTCCTGTAATGAGGGCCGCTTGGCGACGACGGCGCCGGCCTCGTCAGCGGGCGCGGCGGGCACTAACGCGCGCACGTACTCATTATGCGGCAGTGTTAGTGAAGAGCCATCTGTTGTTACTGCACTGAACAACTTGAGACGTTCCAACTGAAAACAATTAAAATTGTTTTATTATTAATCTCTATACTTTCTTAAATAACCAAAAAACACTTGGGTTAATAACATAAATCCAATTTTTTTTTTATTTAAAATATTAGCAGATTTTTTTTGTAAATTTACTAATATTTCTTGTACCATTCTAACTAAGCTCTAAGCTTGTGCTAGGATATGGTTTACGACAATAGTCGAATGGCGGGATTCGAACCCCCACCTCGAGGTCGGAAATCCGTACCCTTAACAATTAGGCTATTGACGCTTCAATACTCATCGTAATCAGTTGTCATCAAGAAATTCACATTTATTTTACTAATATTATAAATGCAAATGTTTAGATGGACGGATGGATAGATATTTATGAAATTTGGCACACATATAGAACATATCAAGTTTTTTTTTAATTACGCGCGGACGGAGTTGCGGGCGAGAGCTAGTATAACATAGATATGTGCAAAAAAACTAAATCAGTAGAATATAGAGATAACTCTACCGTTTAAGTCCAGCAACACCTCTAATAAAAATAAATAAACAACAACATGTCACTTACCTCAGCTTGATCGCTATCAGAAGATTTCCACAGTCCGTCATACCATGGCTCATCTGAGATGCGTTGTGATATAGTCTCATAAGACTTTTCTCTGGCCTTCTTTGAAATCTCAGTCTCTTGGCGAGCAAATTTTACTGTCACCTTTAAAAACACTTTTTTATAAAAATACGTAAAAGAGGAAAATATTCATTATGATTTTAAGGTTGAACCTTTTTATTGATAAAATAATTATGCAAATGTTTATCCATTTCTAATTAAATATAGCTGTTTATTTTAGACTTTCTTTGAAAAACTTTCAAATACAAATTTATATGCAATTCCCTGTTAAATTGACATCCAAATAAATGTTACATACCTGTTGAATTTCTGGTTCTTTGTCCTCTTCATCTGAATTCTCTGCTTTATTTTTATCATTCTTTTGTTTATCTTGCTTATCATAAAATGAACAAGATGGTCTCAGTTGAACAATTCCTGTACAGATACAGTTTACGTCAGACCATTAGCTCTCAAAATCAACACTGGCATACAACTGGCATTATGTAAACACTAACTGGCGCACATGAGCCTGTACAGTTCATGCCAGGCCAGCACTACTGGCCTACTTTGTGGACATGATGTAAAACAGGCATTCATTGTTAGGTTACATTCATTGTGAGGTTAAAATCAAACTTAACAAATACTTTGTACCGACTAGGATTTTAACATACTATGGCTGACACTATACAGGTTAAAAGAAATAGTTACCTACCCATAAGACTAATAAGTTTTTAAAAAAACAAAATTGGCTAATATTGAAAACAATTCTAATGACTAAATCTTCCAAATACATGACCTTACAATGTCAGTTGTGCATACAAAGAAAATTAAGTTGAGTAGTTAGTAATTTACACAAACCTTTAACAGGTGTACAATGAAGTTCCTTGTCTTGCAACAATGCTACAGCGTAATGTTCCGTTTTGAAACACGGCACACTGCTTTCCAGAACAATCTTATCCATTATTCCATTTTTGAAATATTGAGATTTTTCTCTATCCCTATCCTTTATGTACCTTGATTCCTGTGGAAATTAAAACAAAATATTTATTAGACATTTTGAAATATATATAATCTTATTAAATTTTGGTAAAATCGTTAATTTAAAACAGTTGATTTTTTTCTAATTTTTCAATGAAAAAATAATCTAATGTGATTAACACTATTTAGAGGTAAGTAATTTAAATAATTGATATTTAAACTTATTCAATTTTAAACAGTAATTAGCAAAATATTTTATTACGCTTAATTTTACATAATAGTTAATAAACCTTTTTCCAAATTGTTACAAAACTTAAAAAAAACATATTCATTCTTGCTATAAAAGTAAAAAAAATACAAGTGTCAATTATACCTGCTGGCCATCTGTATTCAAAGCGATTTGTTCGCCTTTAGAAGGGCAGTATTTATCACTATAAGTATCAAGACCCACTTCAAGTCGTACTATTTTATTTTTAGGTTTTATAGATGCATTCTTCACCATAACATCCTTCCAATCTCTATTTGCAGGTCTCACGGGATATTGAAAGATGTAGAAATTTTCTGCCAACGCTTGGGATAAAAACACCGGTATCTGACAATATAAAGAACAGGCGATTATTTATAAATTTCGATCAAATTGAAAACGACATAACCTGTACACGTTCCAAGATTTTTTATTTCGTTATAACTTTACCTCTTGCACAACGGGGTCGTCTTCTTCCATTATATGGATTGTTGAAGAAAATACTGCTATAAAACAATCATATTAATAAATTAAAACTAAACTGAGCCAAAATCACGCTACAGTTACAGTAAGTTCAATTTCGCATCTGTCAATGTCACTGCATTTAACATCTGTCACTGCTGACATGTACAATATTTTTTTTTCGCTTTTATTCGTTGAGAAATCGACCGACCATATGACCATAGAGAAATAACAATCAACAAAGCTGTTCCACAAAAATCACGTTTAGTAAAACTTTAAACTCAGGATTTAAAAATAACTAAATATTAAAAACTTACCAATTACACCAAAGCGCTAATACTTCTTGTGTTATTTTGCTTCACCTTCATATCAACCATTTGGGGACTGGCTTGAAAATTTCAATTAATTTTGTAAATATCATTGATGTTCATTGACTTGCTTGTGCCAAATATAATGACATTAATTTTGCAGCTAAATATGTATTCATACAATGATAATAGTTATTAAATATTAAGAAGACTGTTTAGTTTTGTTCTTTTTATTGTTGACTCTTACTTTATTTTCTAGATCAAAATGTCGGACATGATAATAAATGGTAAGGAACTTAAATGTAATATGTTATTTATAATAAGAAATTAAAGACAACTTGTACAATACTCTTCATCGGACCTTAATAATGTTCGTATTTTCCATTTTCATCTGAAAATCGTGTAACATATGAAGTCTTCACCTGGGACTCGAGCATATTGGTTAACTACTTGTTTATTTTGACAGACAGCGTTCCAGTGGATAAGAAATGGAATGAATTAATAAAATACAATATATTTATCATGAAATTAATAGAATTTGTAAGTAAATTTATGTGCCATTATTTAAATCACCTTATACACTGTAGTTCAATTGTCATCTTTGTAGCCTTGTTTGAATATACTTACTTCTTTAGTGTCTACATAATGCTCTTCATATTTTACGTTGATCAGTTATTGCTTATTGATTTTCATTTAATTAGTTTCCTAGCTTTAAATATTATTATTCCTTTTAGGGATTTTCTCTCATAATTCTACTTTTACCGTTAATGATTCCAAAGCCTCATGGTCATATGTACTGCATATCTACTGGTCCTACGCTTATAATATCACTTTTATTTATTATACTGTATCTACGAAGACAAGTGCCTCTATTTATGGAAAAAATGTATTTATTTTTTCAAATATTGTTTACATTTGGAGCCTTTATACAATGTTTTCTATTAAATCTCAGTAGAATTTGGTTGTGGCTAATTTATGGTTTATTTTATTTCGCTTTGTTAACAGCGTTAGCGCTGGACTTATATTTAATTGCAAACGAAAGAGGGTGTACATTTAGTTGTGCCTAAAATATTTTATTACAAAAACCCTAAAATAAGTTAATGCGAACATCATTCCTATTATGTACTGATGTACTGGTTTAAGATAATTTGTTCTTTCAACATGTCTAATAAATATACTTAAACATAAAAATATATTGTATTTTACTTTCCGAATTAGGATGTTACAGAGAAAAAATATATAAAACAGTAAGCCGACTTAGAAGTCAATTATTATTATTTTACGATAATTGAAGATTTTTATTGCTATTTGTTACTTTATTACAACGCGATTATCTTAAATACAATAATTATAAACACAGTTTTAACAGGTTATTAACTGAAGTTTTGAACGATAAGGCAAACGTCATCTAACGATAGTCAAAATATTGCAAAGATAACCTATATGATATGTTCATCTTTGTGTCGTGTTTATCTCTAAAATACGTATCAAATAACAATTAGTCAATATGATTATCATTTATGAGATGAATTAAATTCTACTAGTAAAAGTTACAATAATTATAATACAAATATGTAGGTAGATTCACTATATTCTTATTTGTTTTCGGTGAACCCAGTATTGTGTCAATTTAACACTGCCTATCCTAATATAGCCTTCATAAATGCATAGTCACCTATTAGTAAATTGCCCGTGTTTAAGTAAATTTTAAATTTCTATGTAACGCTAACACTACTAAGTAGAGGTGATTTATTTTTAGGTTATATCTATGATACTCCTGACCCTACCTTTTGCTCTTCCCGCGCCTGAGATATTCCACTGCTTGGCGGCTGCTCCAACACTTATGCTATCGTTTATGTTCATCATCTTATATTTAGTGGATCAACATCAAAGTGTAGTGGAACAATTGTACCTGGCTTCACAAATTACATTAAATTTCTTTGCAATACTACAAGCAACTATTTTAACAGGTTTCACAGGCTCGTACTACGGACTAATGTACTTTCATCTTTTCCTTGCGCTTTGTATTGATATGTACTATAATTATAATGAGCATGGATGTTTAATTTTTACGAAACCTAAAAAAGTTATAATTTAGTTAATAAATTATGTTTTAAGAGTAGTAGTATTATTGAATAGATTATAATACACAAATTAAAAATATTTACTAGTCCTTATTAAATTAAAATACAGTAAATATTTCCAACCAAGAGCTGACTATTGATAAACCTCAAGCCTAACAGCTTTGATAGATATCAGATGTCTAACAGATTGGATTAATTAACTTATTATGTAAAAAGCTTTTTATTTCACATTTAACAACTATGTTAAGAAAGCTAAAAGTACATTTTATTGAAGTAAAATTTAATGTTTTAGGGACTCGCACTTCTACTCTGTATTATGCCCAATATCGTGGATCCCGTTGATTCATTTTACTGTCTGGCATCAGCCCCAACTCTTATGATATCGTTTCATCTAATTGTGCTTTACGTTGTGGACCAAGTACAACCAGAAGCGGAGTTCTATTACCTTGTTATACAGTTATTCGTAACAACAATCGCATTACTGAACCTTATATTTGTCGGAAGATTGATTGGAGCTATTTATGGACTGTTTTACGTTGACTTAATAATTGCATTTATCATGGATTTGAACTATATACGGAAACAACGTGGTTTTAGATATTGATAAAAAATAATAATCAAATGGAGTTCATTTGAAACTCAAATGCGAGATAGTGAAGAGGAAATTGCCTTATCAAAATACAGTACAATTAAGAGATAGTTTGAACAATGTACTCCCATGATAACAATAATAAAACATACTACATACTTCATATAATGAATCATGTTAAGATATTTTCGAAAATATTAGTCAAAATACGTAGAATAACATTATTTCAATTATTATGGATTATTTTGGTGATAATTATATTTACATTATGGATGTGGAATAGTGAAACTGTGGAAGAGAATAAACACAATCCCGTGATACTTTGGTGGACTGCAAGTTTTCCTGGCACATCAGAAACAAGATATTGCTCCAATGATATAAAATGTGATGTTTTTAGTAACAGAAACATAAGTGATTTATACAATGTTGAAGCAAATTTGTTTTATGCCAGTAATATTAAATTTGATGATTTACCTTTACCTCGACGTCCCAAAGAGGTTATATGGGGACTTTACCATGAGGAATCACCGAGAAATGTTGAAGAGATGATGCATGAAGATGTTCTAAGTTTATTTAACTACTCATCGACATTTAGTCGTTTCAGTGATGTTCCGTTTCCATTACAATATTTAAATTCGTTTGAAGATATAAATAATATGAAATATTTTGTACCAACATTGGAAAAAAATAAGTATTTAAATGAGATTTCTCCAGTGATGTACCTTCAATCAGATTGTGAAACATCAACTGAAAGAGATATTTATGTTAAGGAGTTAATGAAATATATAAATATCGACTCGTATGGTATTTGTTTGAATAATAAAAAACTTCCAAATAAATTCACAGAAGACTATTTGAATAAATTACATGATGATGATTTCTTACATTTTATTGCGAGATATAAATTTGTTATTGCCATAGAAAATGGTATATGTTATGATTATGTGACGGAGAAATTTTGGCGGGCTATCAAAGTTGGTACGGTACCGATTTACTTTGGTTCCCCATTGATTAAGGATTGGTATCCTAATAATAAATCAGCTATACTTTTAAAAGACTACCCTACACCAAAAATGATGAGTAATTACATCACTAAACTGATGAATGATGATACGTTATATGAATCATACTTGGAACATAAAATCAAAAGGCTTGTAACTAATGCAAAACTTTTGGATGAGATAAAAACTAGACCATATCAAATAGACGCTTTAAAAAGTGCAACAGAATTCGAATGTTACGTGTGTGAAAAGTTACATGAAAGACGAAATGGTAAATTTGAACAAAGTATTGTAAATAAAAACCATTACGATTGTCCCAAACCATTATCGGCACTTACTTTGGAAGTGAATCCTTTGAATTCTTGGGCGTATTCATTTGAGACTGCAAAGCAGAACGCAGCTTCGATACGCAAAAAAATCATGACTGTCGATTAGATATATACATTTTATTTTTAATATATTTTTTTTTACAATTTTTTATTGCTTTGTTTGTTTACAATTCCTCATTGGCACACTGCATCTAATGGAGTCACCGGATGAACTTGGTAGCCGAGTCCTCTTTTTATCACATGTGGAATGTTTTTAGGCACCATTCTGTAAAATACGTATTGTAGTTAAATACACACAGAATAAAATTTGAGTGTCAGTATGTAATACCGAACACAAAAAATTCGTCTACATAATGCATTTTCCTTACGGAGAACGAAAATTTTATTTATAAAACTTTTGGCTGTATGTCTGTCCGCGAAGCTGCGTTTGTTCCTATTAACATTTATTACCTGAACTATCAGGTCCTAATATTTTATTCTAAAACTTACGAAAAAATTGTATACTCACGTAATACAGTCGATAATGGGGCAGACAGAGAGACACAAAGTGCAACCAGTGCAGTCGTCCGTCACGTGGGGAATGTGCGAGTTTGGATCGAATCTAAATCACATAAAATTATTAATTGTTGTTTCTTTTGGCAGTGGAAACCGACACTGAAAGAACTTAAAGCAACAAAAACTTACTCAATAGCTTGATATCCAGAGTCCGCACACGCCATGTAACATTTGCCACAATTTATACACATGTCCTAAAAATAATAAAAATATGAAATATATAGAATAATAACAAGCAGCTACTTTCTGTGACGTCATTTACACTAGTTTTAACAGTGGTAGAGCCCGCTTTAACATGTTCGCACGAATTGTCCCGCCTCGCCCGGTGAAATACCACGACCACACAGAAGACACGCGTCAAGTGGAAGCTATTCCAAGTACAGTCTGATGAGTGTGCGTCCCGGAGGCCTAATTTAGTCCTCTTTCCCTTCCCATCCTTTTCTTTATAAGGAAAGGATGGGAAGTGGAAGTGGACTTTCCGGATGAGAGGATGCATGGAAAGGGAAGATATTTTCTTTCTGTGCATCCTCTCCTCCGTCGATCAAAGATAGGCAACGCATATACAATTGCATATGTCTATGGGCAACGGTCACTTCGCTATTTCAGTGATTTCAGGTGGCCGCTCGCTCGTTTGCCTCCTTTTGATATAAAAAAAAATAGTTATAGTCCACACTTAGTACTTACGTCGTCAATAAGAGCGACAACTTGTTTGGTATTATCCAGTTTCTTGTAAGGACCAATCCTGGGTAGAGCTTCGCCTAAGACATCTTTAATTTTTGGTACCTCACAATCTTGTGATATACCATTTGTATTATTGTAGTTCAAATAACAATCGTTCGCATCTCCATTAATTAAGTCTGATTTTTGACGTATAGTCTTAAGTAATTCTTCTCGCTTCTTTTTATAAGGCCCAAAATGACCCAGTACCTGAAACAAATTTTGATATTAATGGCTAAATTTAATTAAGTCGCTGGTTTATCCGACTCGAAGGATCATAATTTTAATAGTTTGTACTGTATTTAAATGAATTTGTGGATAATTCACTATTTATAATTGAACAACATGTGGAGTTAATAAGGCAAATTAAAAGACGTTATGATACATGGCGGATTGCAGAATTTAAAAAAAAAACATTGAGAGGAGCACGTCTATGTGTAATTATATTGAAAAGCCTCTTTTCTCCACCGGGCTAAATAACTGCCGTGTACCTTTCCTTCATCCATCAATGTCTGCACAGGCTTCCCTTTCTGATGTTTGTGAGTGGGCGGCGACTGACCGGTCCATCCGTCCAAACCTAGTGAGCGTAGATACAGCAAAGCTTTGAGGCCGGTTATGTAGTCGTCTACCACTGTGAAGTCTTGGTTTTGCACCGCACTGCATATCTAAAGTAGAAGAATTTACTAAACTATGATTAAAATTAGAAATGTAGAGATTAAATACATGGTAAATTAGTTACTGGGGTTAGTTGATATTTGTTACACAAATATTTTTTTTTATATAATTCAATACGAATTTTATAAAAAAAACTAAATAATTTTACGTCTAAATTTTGTTTCAATAATTTAAACACTAAAATAATTCAAAATCCATAGACAATAAAGGATATAATCAGCCATTGATATGTGTGAATAAAATTTCTCATCACCATTAAATCTTATTAATATTATAAATGCGAATGTTTAGATGGATGGATGGATGTTTGAAATTAGGCACACATAGATCATGGTCTGGAAGAACACAGGCTACTTATTAATTTTTTTTAGGAGTCACGGACAATAGCTAGTTTGAGTACTTGTAAAATAAAAATCATTATTCCATCCATCGCCTTAAAAGAAGCCAACACGGGTTTAAACAGAATAAATACCTGAACTACAGGAGCTCCACACAATATGAACTGGAAAGCGGAATCCGCGGAGTCTATTCCTCCAATACCCAGTATGGGGAAGCCGGGCAACTTGTTGGCGATAGCTGAAACAGCGCGCAGACCCATAGGACGCGTCGCGTTACCCGACACACCGCCGTATGTCGTAGACTTTGTATTACCTGGAAGACAACCATCACATTATTCACAATTTTAACAGTGGTAGAGCCCGCTTTATCATGTTCGCACGAATTGTCCCGCCTCGCCCGGTGAAATACCACGACCACACAAAGACAGGCGTCAAGTGGAAGCTATTCAGCGTGCAGTCTGATGAGTGTGCGTCTCGGAGACCTAATTTAGTCCTCTTTCCCTTCCCACCTTATGATATAAAAAAAAATTAACATATCCTGTATTTTAAGACAAGTAACTGCCCCTACTTACCCACAGCCGGCCAAGGCGTGGCGTTAGCGGTAACAGACATCAGTCCAGATACGGTGTTGATGGCTGAAACTCCATATGCACCACCTATTCAAATTAAATTAAAAGAAATATAAAAATTATAATCTATATAAATGAAACATAATAACATGTATTACTAGCTGGAGCCCGCGACTTCGTCCAAGCGGAATTAAAAAAAAAAAAACTTAGTGAGTAGCCTATATATTCCAGACTATGTTCTATATATATGTCAAATTTCAGCGAGATCCATGTAGCCATTCTGGAGATACCTTCAAACAAACATCCATCCGTCCATCCATCCATACATCTAAACATTCGTATTTATAATATTAGTAACTTTTCTTGGCAACTTCTAGAGTTGATTCATAGATTTTTAGGTGGTAAGGTAATTGATATAATGGCCTTACATAGTTTTTAAAGTCGTCAAAATAGTTTACAATTAGCTTAAATACCTTCATGGGCAGCCATAGCAATGCTGACTATATCCGTGATGTTTGGCGTCAGTTTGATGAAGAAAGGAATCTTAATCGCCTTCCTGACCCATTGGGATATACCTTTCACAAGAACTGGATCCTGGAAATACGATAAACAAAAATTATTACTAATATTTTCACATATACTAACATATTTAAAAGAAACTGTTAGAATTAATTTAGTAGCCCATAAGCGATTCTAGGCTTTTATCTTTGTTTCTGTTATGTTAACTTTCAAAAGATTAGAAAGAAGTAAGATATTTGACCTGTCCACAAGCCAGTCCCATGCCGGACTCCCCCATGCCGTGAGGACATGACAGGTTGAGCTCCAGCGCGTCAGATCCCGCCGCCTCAGCTTTACGAGCAAGTTCCGTCCAGTCCTGTTCGTTGTACGAACACATTATTGACGCTATCACTACCTGAAACAAGTATGATAAAATCATTAACAACTAACTTATCACGCGATTAATATGTTACTTGAGCAATAATTTGATTATTGGACGAAAATCTACAGTGAAATTTAATTTTTAATAGTCATAATTCGTTACATGAGAGAGATAAAAGATTACAATGTAGCAAGAATGACAAAGATAGCTGCTATACTCTTTTTTCCCCACTCCTTTTGATGTACGTCTTTTTTATTTGAGGTTGGCTTTAAAAACTTGTGTCAAACTATCACATTCAGAGTTGTTACGTTGTCTCTAAAGCTCCCCTTAGTGTGTATTAAGTATGAGAAATCTACATACTGTAATAGTAATCGTTCTGAATAAAGCAGTCAGTCCCAGTTCTTTTATGGATAATCTTAAACGAAAACCCTTACTGTTTTTGTAACACATACTTTATTAGGGAAATCCCTTTTGAGTTCTGCAATACTCTGACACCAGTAAGCTTCGCATTTCTCAGAGATCAGTTCAATATTGAGGAAGGAGCCCTGTCCCGGGCCGTAGTTCTCGCCCGAGGTCACGCCGCGGACTATACGCGGGGATACATTGGTCACCAAATCCTGGAAACACACCTCAATGTTATGTCAAAGTACTATAACCAAAAAACATGGTTCGCAAATTCCAGGACAAGGAAATGAAACATTACCTATAGAATATATGTATAATGGGGAAATCGTAATTTCTGTCTACCCTCAAAATGCTAACCATGATGCACTTTTTAATAGATTCAAACCCTGGCCTCCTTGGTACCACCAAACATGTCAAATATGAAACTTTAGTCATCAATACCTTATCCAGTCCGAAGGTCTTAGTGACAGCGAAGCCCCAGCCCTGCTGGAAGGCGCGGCGGATCATCGCCGAGCTGGTGGTGGGTGGCGCGCTCGCCAGACCGAACGGGTTCTCAAACTTTATGCCGCAGACCTCCACTGACAGGTCTACGTCATCAATCGGACAGTGGAACTTTGGTAGTTCCACTGGAGAATCGAATGGAATATCCTGGAATTATTGGACTTACATTTAAAATTTATTTCATCCTTTGACTACTTTTTCATTCATGTACATACAGACTAAAAATAGTTAAAGGCGACGAAGCCCTGAGTACTTCATAGTCCATAGCAATCTTGGTTATTTTTTAATATTCACTTTCTTTAAAAAAAACATTTGTTCCTTTTTTCATATAACCATATTTTAAAAAGAAGAAAAAAAGACAAGTTCCTATTTCAAAACGCGCGCGAATTAAAAAATACGCTAGTAGTGACATATGTGTTAGTGTTACCTGTAAATAACAATGCATATACCAAGCCGCGGTCTTGCCATCATTGACAGATTCAACAGTTGTCTCTGCCACACCGGCGAGGTCACCGCCAATGAAAACCTTCGCATTGCTGACACT